AAAAAATTGAAAAGCAATAATATTCTGAGTAGAGGTTCTAATAGTGGCACAAATCAAGTTACAGAGGTAAGGTGGTTCCATTGCCATCCTTACTCTAACTTAATCCTTTTTTTTTTTTAATTTAAACTTGTTATTAATTTCAGTGAAAATTTACAGAAGCTTTGGATTTCCATTCATTCATTGTTGTAGACAGATTTCTGTTTCTAAACTTGTTGGAACCAAGTCTGAGGAAGCAAAGTCTTGGAGGGCTTCAAATATAAGGCTAAAGAAGTTTCCGTGTTTAAACTGGATAGTTTTTTGTTTTTTAAAAAATATATAGTCTTTCAAAAGGAATAACAATAGAAAAATAGTCACTGTCAACTCCAAAATGGATAAATGATTATAAGGCAACAACAACAAAAACATACAGTTTTTCTAAAAACTTATTTAATGAATTTAAATATTTTAATATTAAAATTTGTAAATATATTCAGTATGTTTCTATGAAATATTTTAAGGAATTAATAATTAGTCATCTGTGGTCCCACTGCTATGGGATAACCATTGGTTTGCTTCTAGTTTTTACATTTTGTTTTATCATTTTCTAATCTTTTTTATCAATGCCTTTAGTGTAGCTTGAACTTCTTGTTTTATCACCAATGGTTTGGGGTTTTTTTCTGGGTTTGGTTTTGTTTTTTTCCTTTTTTGTGTACCATGGTGTCTGATTTTTCTCCAGCAGAGCATCTGGTGAATTTAAACTGCATGCCTTCAGGATAGCAGCATAGCTTCTTCCTGTTAGGCCACCAGATCGCTCCATTTTCTAATCTTTTTTAACTTGCACTTACTTTTATCTAAAATTGGGGTCACTGCTTAATTTTTTTCCTTTTAACATTACATTTGTAAGTTTCCCTCTTCACTATATACTCTAATAAATCAATATTATTATCATCATCATCATCATCATCATCATAGACCATAGTATGATGTGCCTCAGATAATTTTATTAGAACCTTGATGGGCATGCAAGTTCTTTCTCATTTGTTCACACTTTTAAAACACACTGTGGTAAACTGCATTAGACATAGATTTTGTTTAGATTTCTCTGGTAATCATTTGATGTATGGAATTAAGTAAGGATAACTTTTTAGAAAGAGAACTCCTGGTCCAGAGAACATGAACTTTTGAAAGGTATTTGATTATGTAATTGAGCAATTTGAGCGTGACATTTTTTATTAATGTTTTAAGTTGATTATTAAACAAGCAGTGATGGTTAGTAGAAATTCACATGTGCTTTTCCCATCACCCATTTCCCAGTTTCCCCTGCTTTCTGGCTCTGTCGTCTTTACCCTTGATTCTTGTGATAGAGAGGAGTGAGTATCTGCCCAGGACTTGACCTCCATAATTACATTTCATGTGAACATCAGGCATCCACTCTGCTGTGCATTGATAAACATTCTTACCCTGCATATGTCTCATTTCCGTTACAGTTGCCTGTGACCCTCGAGTGCTACACAGGACCTCCTGAAGACAACTTAGCCCTACTTCAGCTCTATTTCCGGACACTTGTCACTGGTGCACTCTGCCCACGCTGGTGCCCCGTGCTCTATGTTGTGGCTGTAGCTCATGTCAACAGCTTCATCTTCTCCCAAGACCCAAAAAGCTCAGTAAGTGATAGCACCATCTCCAGAGGGAGGAAGGAGCTATCAACTGCGCTGCCTTTGGGCCAGCAAGGGGAAAAATGAGCCTGAGCAAGGCCAGTAGTCGATGCCAGCTTTCACCCCAGTGCCATCCTCTTCTTCTTCTAGGATGAGGTGAAGGCTGTCCAGAAGAGCATGTTGCAGAAAACCTGGCTGCTGGGAGACAAGGTAAGGGGCACATCCTGGAGGGTCTAAGGGGAGAGAGACTCAGTAGGACATAGTACCTACTTCATACATTTTTCTCCCCTCTTCACAGGGTCTTCGGCAGCACATCCTCTACTATAAACGTCCCAATTTAGCCCTCCCAGAGGGCTTTGAACTGTACCCTGAGTTGCCCTTTTTGCGTCAGCAGCATCTCGAGAGACTTATCTCAGGGGTGCTCCAAAGAGGGGTATCGCAAACCTAGTATAGCTGCTACATACAGATGGATGCATAGACATGTTCTCCTGGGGTTCGCCAAGAGACCTTCCCACCTGGCCACCAGGCACAGTGGCACTTTGTGAGCAGGAGACAACACAGCAGAGGCTTGCCTTCTCAGAGCAGGCTGTTTGAATGCCTTTGGAGAGAGTGAGTTCTGCCTTATATCCTGAGATCTAAAGTTTAGGATCTGGGTGGGGCTCCTAAGGGTCTGTGCTAGAAATGAAAAATTACTTTATTATTTACTCCCACTCTAGGGATAAGACAAAGTAAACTTCCACCTTCTCTGCCTCCCAAGCCAGAATATGAATTATAAAAGCTGTGCTTAAAATAAATTTTTTTTTAATCTCTTTGGAATCTAATTTGGACTGATTTCAGACATGTTAGTTTAGGATTTACTGTTGAAGGGTGGATTCTCTCAAGAAAGGATCATTGAGAGAACTAAAGGAGAGGTGTGAATGAGAGGTGAAAAAATGAGTTCCTCTCTGGAGACCATGGAAACATGGATCTCAGGTCAGAGGTAAAGTCAGACCAGAGTAGAGATTTTGGGAATGGCAACATTCCTGGAAGGACTTTCTCAGTAGATCAAGCGAAGTCTGAGGTCTGAGTGTCTTTAATGAGATTAGCATCTAATCTCCTTATGGTCTCCTGTTTCTATAAGTTACTATCCAAAGACATGGAAAAGCTAAAAATGAGACTGGTACAATAGTCATCCTACACTACCACTTCCATTATCTACTTTATTAATGGTAGGTGGAGCTGGAGGGCAGTGGAGGAGTAGGTCAAAACGGACTGGCTCGTTCCTATTCTGTTCTGGTTCTTTTGTCTGGATTCTAGCACTTGGACTTTCTTGGATTAATTTGTTATATAAAGGTAAGGATCATTCTTTTTGCACATCATCAGGGTGAATATAGTATACTAGGTGTGTCCTTTTAGGACCCCATTAATAAAGCCTGTTCTCTGTTAATGGAGCTACTGAACACAGATTCATACAATGTTGTTATGTATCCTGCGACTCATAGCGACCCTATGTACCAACAGCCCTAAACTCTGCTCTGTCCTGTGCCAATCGCACTGTCTCTGACATTCCCATCCTGATTACCCCAGTCACTGAATCTATCCACCTCATAGAGGACCTTCCCCTCCTGCCCTGTCCCTCCACCCTCCCAAGCATGATGTCCTTCTCCAAGGACCAGTCTCTTCTTACAACATGTCCAAAGTATGTTAGACGGAGCCTCAGAATCCTTGCCTCCAAGGAGCCACCCAGTTTAACCCTTTCCGGCATGACTCTGTTTGTTTTCCTACCAGTCCATGGTACTTACAGTACTCTTCTCCAGCACCACAGCTCAAAGGCATCAATTCTCCTTCTATCCTCCTTGGTCATTGTCCAACTCTCTGATCCATAACAAATGATTGCAAAGACCATGGCCTGTATCAAACGCACCTTAGTCTCCAGAGAGACACCATTGCTCTTCAGTACTTTGGAGAGGTCCCTAACAGCAGACTATCCCATGGAAATGCGCCTTTTAATTTCCTGGCTACTGGTGCCAAGACTGTTGACTATGGAGCCAAGCAAACTAAAGCTGTGAACAATCTCAATCTCTTCACCATCCATCCTGATGCTGCCAATTGGTCCAGTGGTGAGAATCTTTGTCTTCCTGACATTGAGCCTCAATCCATATTGGAGGCTACAGTCCTTGATGCTCTGCAGCAAGTGCTTCAAGTCCTCCTCAGTTTCGGCAAGCAGGGTGTGTCATCTGCATAATGCAGATTGTTGATAGATCTTCCACCAATCTTGACCCCACATTTCTCCTCATAGAGCCCAGCCAATAGGATTTATTAAGCAAATAGTGCACATGCAAAAGGCCTGGTGATATGCATGAAAAGCATCAGTCATTGAAAACCATATGGAGCATAATTCTACCCTGACACACATGGTGTCACCAGCCATCAGAATTGATTTTATATATAAATTCTGTGTACATATGGTCTAGTAAGTAGTTGTACTGCCAAACCAAAGACAGGTGGTTTGAATCCACCATCTGCTCCAAGGAAGAAACATGGGTAATCTTCTCCCCTGTAATTTAGTTGACTAAAACTGAGTTGGTTCCAGCTCAGTGGCACAGTGTAACAAGTACACATAGCAACAGTAGTTCTTACAGTGTTGGGATGTGATAAAACCACCTGGAGTTGATTGCATTTCTAACAAGTTACCAGGTGATATGATGGTGCTATCTAGGAATCAACCATACTTTGGGAACCACTGGTCTTCAGGGACCTTGCAAAATAAATTCTGTCACCTCACCATAGGGTATCTTCAAAGTTAACTAACTAGTGGGAATCCAGACCACAGAACCATTGTGTCCACATCTGTCACAGTATACTCAAAAACTATCAAGCAGATAAGTACTTGAGCTTATTTTTTCCACGTGTTTTCTATTAAACACAGGCCTCAACCTTTAAAATGACACAACAGATTTTGCTTTGTGTGGGAGAAAAATTTAGCATAAAATTCATATTCACACACACACACCAAAAAAAACCCCCCAGACTACTGGCCTGATAAATCTAAAGACATCCCCCTCCAAGAGCATGGCCATAAAATAGCCTTCTCATCAGGAACTAAAACCACTCCAGGATATGACCCATCAGTCATAGACAATAACATACTTACGGAATGTATTCTTTAGGATTATCATGTTAGGTGTTGTCAAGGACAACTCATAGTGACTGAGCAACAGATCTGAATCCAGTCCTGTCCTATCTGCCATCCTCACAATCTCTGATACACTCAAACCCATTGATTGCTGCAGTTACTGTCAGTTCACCTGGTTGAGGGTCTTACATACCTTCATGTCCTTCCACCTTTTCTAGCATGATACCTCTCTTCAAGGAATAACCTCTCCTAGCAACATACCCAGAGTATAGGAGATGAAGTTTTTATTATCTTTACTTCAAGGAGCACTCTGGCTGCACCTCCTCTAAGACATACCTGTTTGTTCTTTTGGCAGTTGATGGAATATTCAGTACTCTTTTCCACTACTGCGTTGAAAGACATCAATTCTGTCATCCTTATTCATTGCCTAGCTCTCAGTTGCATAGCAAGTGACTGAAAAGACCGTGGTCTAAATGAGGTGCACCTTAGAAACCAGAAATCTCTGCCATTGAGCCAATTCCAATTAATAGTGACACTACAGGATTTCCTAGACTATACCATCTTTCTCCACCCCAGCACCTGGTGGATTCAGACTGCTGACTCCATACATTAGCAGCTCTGTATGTTAAGTACTACACCACCAAGGCTCCTTAAGGAGAGCAAGGGGGAAAAGGCAAAGGTATGAAAACAGGAAGGAGCATGGACACTAAACAAATGACAATGATCAAACAAGAGTGGAAAAGAATGATGACATGGTGGGATCATGGTCAGTGTCACAGAGCAAATTGTATATGAGCTATTGAGTGAGAAACTAATTTGCTATGTAAAATTCTTCCTGAAGCACAATAAAGTGTTAAATAAATAAATAAAATTGTTATTAGAAGCAAAATAAAGAAGATCCAAGACAAAACATCCAGAAGGCTAAGTGATCCTTTGCAGAATGTAGTGGTCTTTCATGAGTTCAGAAGTGCTAGGGGAGGCTGGCAATACATTTGTGACTTGGCAATATCACCCACCAACTGGGATTCTAGCTCTAGCTTACAGATCTGGTATCTAGTCATCTTTCACTGCATCACAGTTGTATTAAGAGACTGCGTCAACGCACATTTGAGGGTGTTAAGCCTCGCAGTTAGAAAGTCAAAGGCACTGAAATGCCTTACTTGGCCACTATTACCACATTTCTGTTCTAACCACATGCCTCCTCCCACTTTGCCACTCATTTCACCATCAAGAAAGCACACTGGAGACTGAGAAGCCTGTTTGGATGCCTTCAATGTTCTTCACTGCTTTCTCCAGAGCCTTTCACAAAAAGGTGGGGCATAGACCCCACCTTTCTCAAAAAAGTGGGGAACACACCACCCTGCATACATACACGCTTTCGTACATAGTCGTGGAGCAGCGAATAACCAGCCTAATGGCTAGAGACACAAAACCCTGACTGCAGAAGGCACCTTGAAGTGTGAGGACACTCCTCCTGGAGGCTCCCCACCTGGCCCGCCCTTCATAAGGTTGCTCGGGGGTGTCTGAGGTGGGCTGGACTAGGTCGGCTTTAGGACCCAGAGAGTAGCCTGGACTTGCAGGGGCTGGACACGCCCTTAAGCTGTTGGGGACTTTGGTGTTCCCAGCCAGAGTCTGCAACCCAAGCTAGGGTGGATGAAAAGGTCAATGGGCTGCCGCTGCCGGCTGCTGCTATGGCTCGGAGCAGTGGGTGAGTTCCGTCTTGCTGTTGGGCAACCATGCAGCACCTTCCTAAGTTTTAGGGAACATCATCACGGCCGACCTAATTATCAGCGGCTCCTCCAGAGGCCTGATGCCCAAAGCTCCTTGTCGGTGGGAGCTCCTGGAGTCTGGGCAGAGAAGCTTGGTGCACCCCGGAATCCCTAGAATCTAGAAATGCAGATCACCAAGCTTGGAGAGAGAAAGCTCCCCTACTGCCTGGAGGATGAAGGAAGGACTAGCAAGGATGAAGGAAGGGCCTTGGGGTCTAGCCTAGTGCAGCATCCGGAGCCATTCTCTTAGGGGTAAAGTCAGCAGCTTAATCAGTAAATTCCCAGAGGGAATTCTACTTCGGGGTGCTGTGTGCACTGGCTAGACAGAGTGGAAGGGTGTGGCTGCGAGCAGTAAGAGCTGGGGGGGTGGTGCGTGAGTCTCCCTCCCTATTTACATCCTGTACCCTTTCCTTTCCCGCTCTCTATGCCATCCTTCAGGCGCCACTCTCTGCTCCAACTTGGAGTTCCAGGTGCCTTTTGTGCCATCCTCAACCACGGAGCCACCAGCTTCACGTTCCCACGACGCTCATGCCCGCGGCCCACCTCGAGGTTTGGAGCTAGCTTCTCCCCTTGAAACCCCAGGTTAGCTCCGAGTTCCTTCCTTCTCCAGCACTCACTCAGACCCCAGGTTGGGAAAGGCCTGGAGAAGGAGCTCCATTACCCTTTCCTCCCTTGCGGCTTCCAGACTCTGAGGGGCCTTGGGTGTTCTTCACCTGTGGGGCCAGCGGCCGGCAGGGGCCCACACAGACACAGTGCGACGGGGCGTATGCGGGCAGCAATGTGGTGGTGACGGTGGAGGCCGCAGGGCACCTGAGGGGCGTGCAGCAGTGGCGAGCTCCCCGGTCTGGCCAGTACCTGTGAGTATAAAGCGGGGACGGCTGGTGACCCTCGAGTCAGCGGTTTTATAGCTAGGAAAACCACAGACCCATGCGCACCACTTTGCGTCACAGGTTATTATGCAGCTACTTCCAATTCTTGCCTGTCTCTTTCCAGAGGAACTGAGGAAGGGTGGCAATAGTTAGCTTGTACCTGGTAGCTTGTTCCCATTGCACAGAGTGCCCTTCAAAAGCGACAGGACCAATGAGTGTCTTAAGCACCCCTTATCTCCATTAAGGGATATCTGAACTGCCCTGCCCATACAAAGCTACATGGTTCAAATCCACCAGCTGCGGGAGAAAGATTGGCAAGCTCTTTGTTTTGCGATTTATTACGTCTGTAAACCAGCTGGAGGATCAGCTATAAGTCTGTCCGACTCAATGGTAAACAACTATCTCCATTAAGTCTCAAAACTAAATGTAATTTATTATGTTGGTGTGCAAACATAGTCTCTCCACTCGGTCAAAGTTGACTGCTGTCTCTTGGCACTCGTGGATGAGACATTTTGGAGCTCTGTCGCCCCCCTCGGCACCTTGGTGACCCCAGGTGAGAGCGGTGGATGAGTGATTGTTTCCTGCAGGATCTCAGCCTACGGAGCCGCGGGCGGCAAAGGCGCCAAGAACCACTTGTCTCGGGCGCATGGGGTCTTTCTGTCCTCAGTTTTCACCTTTAGTCGCGGGGACCCACTCTACATCCTGGTGGGACATCAGGGAGAGGACGCTTGTCCAGGAGTAAGTGGAGTCAGTGGGAAGGGGGCGGCTCCAGCTCGCTGGGTGTGCTGAGGGTTGAGGGGTCTTCCGTGCTTGGAGCCGGAGCTGCAAGGGCAGAAACGACGTCTCCCCAATTCCGGGCCCTCTGCACGCAGGGGAGCCGGGAGAGCCAGCTGGTCTGCCTCGGAGAGTCTCTGGCCGAGGAGCACGCGGCAAGCAATGATTCCGAAAGGGTCCGGGGGTCGCGGAGCTGGGCCGGGGGCGGCGGGGGTGGCGGAGGCGCGACCTACATCTTCCGGGTACGTGGCTGGGGGGGGGTCCCACCACCCGTGCCCCTCAGCTGGGTCCCAAACCTCTTCTCAGGGATGCGCACGCGCTCGGTGTACGGTCCCGGGCCCCTCCTTCCCTAGGCCTGGTTTGGAGCCCCTACCCTCACCCCGGTCGCCCCTTGTCCGGGTCACCATTGGGCGGCTGGCACATGCAACCCTAGCACGCCAGTGTCCCCGCAGTTGCATGCCGACGAGCTGGAGCCGCTGCTGGTGGCGGCCGGAGGCGGTGGTCGGGCCTACCTGAGACGGCTCGACCGAGGCCAAACCCAGACCGCCCCCGAGAAGCTGGAGACCCGCACGGCGGCGCCTGGGAGCGGCGGGCGAGGCGGGGCGGCAGGTGAAGGCCGGGGCTGCGGGGAGAGGCTGCCGTGCACGCCACCCCGGTTGCACGCCTGCCTACTGTCGCTCTGCAGGTGGAGGGGGCGGCTGGACGTCGCGGGAGCGCTCGCCGCAGGCTGGCGGCTCACTGCTGGAGGGAGCGGAGGGCGGCCAGGGCTGCGCAGAGGCCTGGGCTGCTCTGGGCTGGGCCGCGGCCGGAGGCTTCGGGGGCGGTGGCGGGGCTTGCACTGCCGGTGGAGGAGGCGGCGGTTACCGCGGTAGGTCCTCCTTGGGGAGACTAGCTTGGCAGCCCCGGGGGTGAAGTTAGATTAGAGCCTTAGAAAGGCCCAAGTCCCTCGGAAAGATAGATGGCGCTGAGCTCAGATCCCAGTTACAGCAGATAACGTTATTAGTTGCCCTAGAATTGATGCCCACTCATAGCAACTCCACGTGTGTGCAGAGACCATTTCTCCATAAAGTTTTCAAGCAGGCTTTTTAGAAGGAGATTGCCAAGCCTATCTTCCGAGATGCCTGTTGGTGAGGTTGCCAACTTTTTGGCTCATAGAGTTTAACCATTTGTGTTACCTAGGAGCTCCAGGTGGAGGCAGGTGACTTCGAGTCTACTACAACTCATAGCAACCTTATGAATAAACAAACACCCCGAACTTGGCCCTATTCTGTGTTTCCTCATCATCCCTAATATACTTGAGCCCATTGTTGCAGTCACTGTGTTAACTCATTGATCCTCCTCCACCTTTGCAAGCATGGTATCCTTTTCCAAGGTCCAGTTCTTCTTTAAATACCCAATGTGTGTGAGACAAAACTTCATCGTTCTTGCCTCTAACAGGCTGACTCAGTTGCCGATAACATACACACAGAATGGACTCCCTAGATTTCCGGTTGTGTCCAGGACTTCACAATAGTCCTAGGAATTTAGAACTGGCTAGTTAGCAACTGAGGGGAAAGCCAGAAAGGCTGGATAGATTTTAACTCAGTACTTCTCAGAGTATATTCTATTTACATACTGACCTGCAGCATCACCTGGTAGTTCATTAGAAAAGCAAGTTCTCAGTTATCTCCTCAACTGATAAAAGCAGAAACTCTAGGTAGTGGCACCAAAAAATCCTTCATTTTAACCAATCTTCTAGGCAATCATTTCTCATGCACTCCAGAGCCTGTGCATCTGTCTGTGTGGGCTGTACTGTTCACAAGTACTTTACACCCGTCATCTCAGTTCTCACAGCAATAGAATATGTGGGTTGGGCCTCTCCCACTTTCTAACTGAGGACACTGGGACGAAGAGGTTCAGAGAGACATGTCCCAGCCAGCCTGAGCCAGCCCTTCAGGCTGCAGATGTTTGTCTCCTTCACCAGCCACCTCTCTGGCCCCTTGGTTCACACTGGTAGTGAAGAAGATCTGCACTGGATTTTCCTGGAGACTCCAGCTTCCATTTTGTTCATAAGTCACCTTCCTAGCTATGAGGTGTGTGCCCCGCCTATTTTAGAGTCAAACCATCTAGTCCTTCTCAATTTCTAGGAGGTGATACCTCAGAGACTGATGTCCTCTGGGCCAATGGGGAAGATGGGGTCTCATTCATACATCCCAGCAGTGAGCTCTACCTGCAGCCTCTGGCAGGTATGGACCTCACCTTCCCAGCTCTCAGCTTCCCCAGCCCTCTTGCCCTCAGTTCCTAAGCCCATCCCATCTGAGACATCAGTTCTGCACTGTGTTGTATTTGGTTTTTTGATGGCAGGAACACTTGAGAATTAGACTATCAGTTGTGATGTCCCTAAAGGACATTTGGGGATGCTGGTCAAGTAACCCCTTGTTATGAAGTCTCCTTAAATACCTAAAGTTTCCAGAAGAGGGAGTATGAAGACTTGACAAGTCCATCAATCCTTCCACTTACCCTTCAACTCCCGACTCTGCTCCTCCTGCTCCAAAGTACTGGCCTTGAACTAACCATGTGGCTCAAAAAAAGCTGTCTGTGCCCCCTCCAATACAGCTTTCTCCTCTCCCCACAGTCACAGAGAGCCACGGAGAGGTGGAGATCCGTCTGTACTTCAACTGCAGTCACTGCTCTTTCAAAGAGTGCCAGTGGCAGGCAGAGATCCAGTTGGCCAGGTGTATGTGCCCAGAGGGCATGCAGCTAGCTGCAGATAATATTACTTGCTTGGGTAGGTCCTGCCTTTGCCCAAAGACTGGACCCCTAGGGCTGGAAGGGGCGGTAGGGCACTGTAGAAAATGGTTTAGAGGCCTATTTTGTCCCAGGCACTACAAGCATCATGCTGGGTGCTGGGCAGGGTAATGGAGTCACATCAATGCCCTCTGTGCCTTCAAGGAGCAAATAGTCCAGTGTGGGAGGTGAAGTATATGGTTCAAGATGACAATTGCCGTGTAAGCTGTAATAAATATTTCAAAGTGGCAGTTGCCATGTGAAATGTAAAGCGTTTTAGACATTTTCAGGAGGCTTGCTTTTGTCTAGGTTCACTGTTGAAAGCAGCATGGTTAACGTTTCAGCTGGGTTTTGAAGAATGGGTAAAACGCGGGGGTAGAGGGACAAAGAGGAGCTTCTCATTAGATTTGTCTTTGTCCCTAGATCATCCCACTCCCACAGGCTCCCTGGTTATGATGGTGGCTGCGGTGGCAACCTTGATACTGAGCCTCCTTGTGGTGTGCAGGGTGCTAATTCTGGGTATGAAGTATCCAGCAGACAACTGCTTCAAGGTTGCTTTCCCTTCCCCTGAGTTAGGATGGCCTCTGAGCTGTGATGGGCAGCTCTGGAGTTCTCTCGAAGCACCTGGGGAGACCTTAATGGGAGTGTGGCCTGGGTAATTGGAGGCAAGGTAAGCCTGGTGAGCAAGTAAAGGTCATACATTGCTCTCCACACCTGCAGTCAACCAGAGGTGTCTGGGCCTAAGGAGAACGAGGCTGCCAGGCCCTGAGCTCAGGCTGAGCAAGCTTCGTACCTCGGCCATCTGGACAACCCTCAACCCTTACTACCGCCAAGTGGGGTTTGGCTCAGCCCAGGCTTGGCCTCTTCCCCCAGGGCTCACTGAGGTTTCCCCAGCCAATGTCACTTTGCTCAGGTGAGTCTTCAACATCCTTTTGAGAACCTACTCATCACCTAAGCTCCCTCACTGTCTTGGTAAATAATAGACCTCAGGGAATATCTGACTCCAACTCCTCAAGTGAAGGGTCTCTTCCTCAGGCTTCAATAATTGTCTGTTACCCTCAACACTCACTTTCTCCCCTCAATGGCTTGACTGCTCAGCTTTCAGCCCCTATTCTAGGATAAGGGACCCTACAAAGCAACTCTTTCAGAGCACAAGGGTTGCTCCTGTCCTAGATGTCTGCAAGGATGTAAAGGAAGGAGATAGCTCAGATTCCCACCCCTACCTTGACTCCACAGCTGCCTGTTCGTTCACCTTGGCTCATGCCAGTGAACACTGCTCTACTGGGCTTTTATCTACCATGATATGAAAAGAAGTGCAGATCCCTCAGAGGGCCAGCTGGATATATAGAGAGCAGGAAAGGTAAAGGAGGGACTAGAATCTCTAGGATCCTTCTCCAGGCCCAACTACCCACACCCTTCCAACCTGTCTCCCTGCAGAGCCCTGGGTCACGGTGCCTTTGGGGAGGTGTACGAGGGACTGGTAATTGGTCTTCCCGGGGATCCCAGTCCTCTGCAGGTGGCTATCAAGGTAAGAGGGGGTAGGGCTTTTGGCTTTTGGAGAGAAAGAGAGTACCACAGAGGTAGAAACCAGAGTGCTGAACTAGGTTAGTGGGTGCTCCTCACACATCCAAGGAGCTCAGGAATTCCATGCTGTTTGCTTCCCCAGACCTTGCCAGAACTCTGCTCCCACCAGGATGAGCTGGACTTCCTCATGGAGGCGCTCATCATCAGGTGCACATGAAGCCTAGGGGCAGCACTGAAATGTGGAGGGGAGGCACCTAGAACTGCCTGTGGGAACAGCTTCTCCTCACCCTGGGGCTGAAAGAGGCAAGTGGAGGGACACAGAGGTCTTCTCCAGTCGCACGGAGCATAGAACATGGTTTCTCTCCCTGCTGGTGACGGGGTATGTGCACCTCCCACTCAGCAAGTTCAGCCATCAGAACATCGTGCGGTGTGTGGGCCTCAGCCTCCGGGCCGCCCCTCGCCTCATTCTGCTGGAACTGATGTCTGGGGGCGACATGAAGAGTTTCCTGAGGCACAGTCGACCCCACCTGGTGAGACTTCCCATGCCCCTCTAAAAATCCTAGCCACCCATCCTGAGTCCTGTGTGGACTGGAGTGACGTGGCCTCTGCTGGCCCAGGGCCAGCCATCACCTCTGGCCATGCAGGACCTGCTGCAGCTGGCCCAGGACATTGCCCATGGCTGCCATTATCTGGAGGAAAATCACTTCATCCATAGGTTAGAAATTTGGGGACCCACCTGCATATTGGGGAATCTACCCTAGCCCAACTCCCTTCCCAGGGAACAGCCTTTTCTCCCAACTTTCAAGGAAATCCATCAGAAAAGGCCAGATCTGAGTTCTCTGATTTTTTTTTTCTGACCCTGTAGGGACATTGCAGCCCGAAACTGCCTGCTGACCTGCAGTGGAACCAATCGAGTGGCCAAGATCGGGGACTTCGGAATGGCAAGAGACATCTACAGGTGCAGTGCAGGGGGCCTGGGGATGCAATTGCTGGGAAATTTACTGGGCACCTTGATGTTATTTGAACAACTTACTAGTCCCCTCCTCCCTCTTATAGGGCCAGTTATTACCGAAAGGGTGGCCGGGCCTTGCTACCAGTTAAATGGATGCCCCCAGAGGCCTTCCTGGAGGGCATCTTCACATCCAAGACAGATTCCTGGTGACGGCACTTCATTCTTTTCCCTGCCTATGAACTGATCCTATCCTTTCTAGGCCATCTCACGTGAGGGTATTGGAGGTGATGCCTATGGTCCTCATTTGGATCCCCACCTATTCATGATGCAGGTCCTTTGGGGTGCTGCTCTGGGAGATCTTCTCCCTGGGCTACATGCCTTACCCTGGCCGAACCAATCAGGAGGTACTGGACTTCGTTGTTGGAGGAGGCAGGATGGACCCTCCCCGGGGCTGTCCAGGGCCTGTGTAAGTGTGGGTGCAACCCAGGGAAAGATGGCCATCACAACCTTGGATGGGCAACAATCCCTGCTTCTCCTTAGGTACCGTATCATGACTCAATGTTGGCAGCACCAGCCTGAGCTTCGCCCCAGCTTTGCCAGCATCTTGGATCACCTTCAATACTGCACCCAGGTGTGTCCTGCAACACACCCTGACCATCTGGTTTGGAAGATGAGGAGGAGCATTAAAATGTCTTGGCTCCCTCTTTCCTCCCTCCTATTACAGGATCCTGATGTGCTGAACTCACCCCTACCAGAAGAGCTGGGGCCCACCATGGAGGAGGAAGGGACTTCTGGGCTAGGGAGCATGTCTTTGGAAGGCATAAGATCCCTACAACCTCAGGAATTGAGTCTAGGGAACTTGAAGAGCTGGAAAGAGAGCCCCTTTGGACCTTGCCTGCCCTCTGGCCTAAAGTCCCCCAAATCCAGGTGCCTCCAGCCTCAGAACCTTTGGAATCCTACATACAGCTCCTGGGTCCTGAGGGACCGTGAGGGTGAAGACTCAGGCATTGATACCAGTAATCGCTTCTCCCTGCACTCCTCCCCAGGCATCTAGGTGGCTTGTTATTATTCCAGCAGCCTCTGCCCCCTGTGGTCTGTTGTGCGTGTCCTGGCATGTCTCAGGGCTGGCCTAGCAGCTGGACTCTCCATTCTGGAAACCAGCCCTAGGCCCTACAGGAGGAGGGCCTGGACACTCAAAAAGTCTTTGATCTTTGGACTCCTCAACCCTCAAAAAACTCCTGAAAATTACTTCTTGATGGAAGCCTTTTCTGGCCTGCCCACCCTCTGTGAACAGCCTTCATTTGGGCTACTGCTGCCTTTGCAGATGCATTTAATAAAAAACTTTTCTCTTCACATCTCCCATTAATCCAAAGAGATGTGAGGAGTGCTAGGAACTGAAGAAGCACATGCCAGCAGAGAGAGGGGATGAAGCTTAGGAATGAAGTAGTCGCCACAAAAGCTAGGATCTTTGAGTTTTATTGAGAAGGAGAGTCCCACTGTAGTGTACAAGGCTGGACCTATTGGTGTAGCAGTGCCTGCAAAATAGCTGACGATCTAGTCCCCCTGGAAAGCTGGCTAGCCGCCGCCTCAGAAGAACCAAACTGAGGATGCAGCCCATTGCCCCCCTTCCCTACATATTAGTGTCATTTGGCTCTGGGAACTGCAGTTCCTGAAAGCACAGGCCCCCACCCAACCCCCCCACCCCCGCCATCTGCAGAGCGCCCCCTGCGGTTGTCATTGGTCCTGCAGGACCAAGTGAATCACCCTGCCTGGCGGGGACAGGGGGCTCCTTCTCTCCCCTGGCATGCACCGCCTGGATGAAGCCATAGGTCCGTTGGTCAGGTCGGCTGATCACTGCAGAGACAAGAGGCCCAGCCTCATCTCTCAGCCAAGCTGGCCAGAATGCCAATCAAATTGTCCAATCCCAGCAAATAACCGTCCTCGCGGTTGCCCTCCTCCCAGGGCAGCCTGTGGTCCAGCGTCTGGCCGTCAGGGAGGAGCGTGGTCTTGCCAAAGTCGATGAGCCACACGCCGGCGCGATGGCAGTGGTCGTGCACGAAGAGGAGGGAACTGCCGATCACCTGAAGGGGGTCTACGCTGTTAGGCGCTGGGCCTTTCTCAGAGAAAACCTCCGCCCTATTCCCAGCTCCAGCCTCACTGACCACACCCCCTTCACCTTTCCCTCCTGGCCGCCTACCTCATGCCTCCTAAAGAACTCAGAGACTTCCAGGGTGTCCCGGATCTGCTGCAGCCGATTCAGATACCTCCTCTGCAGAGGACAGCGTAGGAGAGGAAGGCAGATGAAACACTAATTGAACATTAAAAGCCAACTGAACGTTTGCTAACTAGGGCAAGATCAGCTTGGTAAATAATGATGGTGAGGCAGCCACAGACCTCCTCCCATGCCTTCCCCCACGGGGCACAACATATGAAGCGTGCGTGCACGGAGCAGAAAAATGATAATAATAAGATGAATGCTACACTGTGGGACATAAAAGGTATCAGACTGGATGACCTAGGGGCAGCCCTCAGTTTCAGAGTCACTGACACCCTGGGTTCTGTGATCCAGCACTCACCAGTACTTCAGCATCTCCTTGCACAAACTCTTCAAAGACACGAATCACTTGCTCCCGGCTCCGAGTTGTCTTGAAGTCGGTGCTGCAGGAGCCATCGGCTTTCTAAAGTAGGTGGGATGTGGAATGTCAAGCACCCAGATTTGTTCTTAGGGAGAAGATCAAGCGAGGGCAGGGCAATACTGTCCAGGACTTTGGTGCGGGATTATGGGGTGACAGGGTGGGGCACCCGAGGGCATCCCTTTAGGGTCGGGCCAGCAGGGAGGGGGCATGGGTACCACGAGAAGGGGACGGGAAAGAGCACAGCGAAGGGAGCCAGGCTCACTTTGATGCCTTCGATGCGGAAGCCTAGCGTAGTGCTGGAGCTGATGCCTTCGCGCCACTGCATGTAGCGCGGTTTGGTGACTGCGCGCTGTGCGTGCTCCTCCTCGGTAGGAGCCGAAGGGTCTACGGCCAGCATCTTCTTGTACATGTCCTTCCGCAGCTTGGGTCGCTCTCGAGCCTTGGTCAGCTCGTCCTCGAGGTAAGTCCTGAGGGGGGTACAGAAGGCAACAGGGTATAGAGAGCTCTCCCTGATACCCGTGATTGCGGGTGTGTGTTGGCGCCCCCTGCCTGGCCCTAAGGAGCACGCATACCTGACACCCATCTTGCAGTCAAGCACACAAGGTCCATCGAAGCCGTCGAGCAGGTCCTGTAGCTGCAAGTAGCTCTCGCCATCACGCTCCACCACGCCGTGGAAGGCGGGCACGCAGCCTCGCAGTGCATCTGCCATCAGCCGCGCCAGGCAGGAGCGCTCTGGCTCCGAGCTGCGCTTCAGGATCAGCCCATTGGCGCCCGCTGCCTTGAAACTCCCTGCAGACAGTCACACATGAATGCTGCTCAGCCTCCTCCTGCCCTGGGCACCCTCCTCATACACCTGACCCTATCTATGCTCACCCGTGTGCCCCGCCAGCTGCACCCAGGAGTAGCGCTTCTTGAAAGGGCTCATGACTGGAAGATTCACCATGGTCCGGATCTTCTGCCAGTGACTTTTCTGAAAGTGACAAGGCACGATCTAAAAAGTCAGCTTCTTTGGAAAAGGGTCTCACCTCGCCCCTGGCCCACCAGAAGCAGCAGGGCTATAAGGATTCATTCATTCTTTCCATTCGCTTGACACTGAGCCAAACACGGGGGGGGGGGGGGGGGGGGGGCGGGGGGGTTTGGGATGGAAGTGTAACAGCTATCCAGCTTCTGGAATGTGTGACCCTTTAGAATCTAAAGGGTCAAGTCTTCAATGACTCAAAAGTTAAATGAGGGGTGGGGTGGGGGGGCAGGGAGAGGGGTGCAACAATGAATGAATGGAATTCCAAAATCTCTGTAGATGTTCATTGAAATGAAAAATAAATAAAAATAAAAAAGTTAAATGAGCAAGTCACCAAACTGCTCAGCGGAGGTAATCAAACTTATATGAGAGTCAGAATCCTGATAAAAATCATGCAGATCTTCGGTTTACCTTAAGGAAATTGACTGAGGAGCTCTGAAGTGGGGCCAAGTATTTGCATTCTAATAACCTGGGGCCAAGGAATCACAGATCACAAGCTTCTAAGTATTAGTTTCTTATCAGTAAAATGGGAAATAAACATCTTCACTAGGTGGTTGAGGGAGCTCTAGTTGTGTGGCCTGTTCAATCCACCAGCAGTTCTGAGGGAGAAAGCCAACCTCCTTCCTTCACTCTGTTGTTAGATGACCTTGCCCTGTCCAGCATGAATCTCTTGGTGGATTTGAATCTTTAGATGGGCAGCACAACTCCTTAGCACTAAGCCACCTAAACTCTCTACATTTTACAGTCTCCACAAGTCAATGGAAGGTTAGCTATGAATGAGTTAGTTCCAACTCTAAGGCATTGAGAGAGCTGAGTTGTTATGAGTGGTAAAGGAGTCTTGGGTATGCAGCGTCCAACCCCCATGCTTTCCCTTGGAACTAACTTCCTTCCTCTCCTTTAAGGAGATAAACTGGGAGATAAAGCTTTACAATAAACAGCACAGGGAGGGGAGAACAGTCTAGCAGGGACTGAAGTGGAAATGAGCAGGAAATGAGGTCTTGTTATGCCTGGATGTGATGCACTCCTATAAATTGGCAAGGCCTAGGGCACCTTCTTGGAGAGGATGAAATCAAGTTGCTCCTTGGAAGCAAGGATTTTGAGGCTCCGTCTCACATACTTTGGGCATGTTGCCATGAGGGACCAGACCGTGAGAAGGACATCATGCTTAGAAGGGTAGAGGGTCAGTGCAAAAGAAGACCCTGGATGAGTCAGGATGGTGAGATGTAGATGGTCAGATGAGATGTAGCAATGGGGTCAGGTGTGTCAGAGATGGTGAGGTTGGCTCAGGATAGGGCAGAGTCTTTGTTCATAGGGTTGCTATGAGTTGTAGTCAGCATCTTTTTGTCCTAATCTAGATCCAGAAAACCTGAGTCCTGAAAATGGGCTGCAAGGCTGAGGGCCTGACACTTTGGACAAGACTAGGAGGGAAATGCAGATTTTGGTGTATCCCTTGCCTCACAACTATTACTGCTAGACTCCACCAGCCTCTGAAAATGTCTCCTACTCGGGATTTTTCAGCTTTCTTCTCAGAACTCATTAGCCTTGTGTATATCTCTATTAAGGGCACAGGTTTGCTCATGTTAACTATGTGCTTGCTGCCTCCTTTCAAGGATCCTTGCTTTTGGGAGTTCCACATATGCCCTTACAGGACCGGAACCCAGGAATCCAGCTTCCCTGACAAGAAGAAATTCTAACATAGAAAGAAATGGGGAGCTGTCTTAGGTAGGGGAAGACTGATGACCATAAAGCTCCTTTCTATGGGGAGAAGACAAGGTTAGCAAAAGAGCACTGAATCTGGTATCTGGACTTGGTTTCAGTCCTGGCTCTATCACTTTCAAGCTGAGGAAGCCCATAGAAAGTACTGTTATCTGTGTGGGCCCGTTTCCTCCCTGCCTCCAGCCATCCAGCTGCTGCCATAATGCTAGCCACCATTTACTGACCGCCTACTACACGCCAGGCATTTCTCATACCCCATCAGGAAGCACTGTTCCTCCTTTCTTACTGAAGTCCTTATATGGTACACTTGGGTGTGATCACATGTCCAATCCCCAGGGATCTGGGGGTGTAGCCAGAAGCAGCCCACCAGACGCATGACATCTCTTTCAAAACTCCTTTTTAAAATCTTTAAATACATATGAGGTTTGCATTTTGCTGCATAATAAATTCAAGTTTTATTATAAAACTCCACACCTCCAAATCCTCAAGTAAAATTCCAAGAATATGTACGTGCCATGTGTATTCAGTAGCACCATCTTGTCTCCCACATTCACTTTGAGTATCCTGGTGATGGGTGTACACTAAGGCATGTTGTATGTACCACTAAGTCAGAACCAACTCATACCTGACCTAGTGGGTTTTCAGAGGGAATAAAGAGGTGGTAAATCACAAGGGAGAGATTAC